GCTTCATGACAGCAGGGGTTTGGGTGAACAGGGCGGGTTTGTGTGACTGACAGTGACAGCACAAGGACATAAGCCCCTCCCCCAGCCGCCGCCACCACTCGTCCTCCAGGCCTCGTCTGTGGGACGGACATCTGGCTTTGCAGCCTCTCGGCCACGCTGCTGAAAAAACAGACCTTGCCTCCGTGTTTACTTCTCCAGCACTGTACATGTAGAGCAGTCCATCAGAAGTATGTCAGACATGCGTGTGTGTGTGTGTGTGTGTGTGTGTTCGTGCGTGTAAGCGTGTGTGTGTGTGTATAAACAAACCGTGCACTTCTGTTCACATCATGTCTTGTTTTGGGACAAATCGCTCCCTAAGCGGCAAAGGAAAAAATAGTTTAGATAAAAGCGAGAAGGAAAGGTGCTCATTCTCAAGAGTGAAAATAAAAAACTGCTGCAGCAGCGAAACGGAGAAACAAAGATTTCTTCCCCATCCCGGGTCAGGATCGGCTTCCTTCCGTCTCGGTTTGGACCCGACGTCAGCCTGCATGACCGTGGTTCTGTGAAGAAGCACCGCTGACCCTCTGCAGATCGCCTCCTCTGCTGTGGCGTGATTCTGCTGTGTTTCGTGTGTTGACATGTGTGAATGAATGTAGGAATGCAACTGCCGGAAGAGGAAAAGAGATTCAGGAATGATTTTTTCATGACTTGCGAAAGCTTTAAATACCTTTTCCGAAATCAATTTCTGCAGTTCTTTTATATGATTTGTGCTCAACCTCTTTTTCAATTAATTTTTTTTTAATCACTGGACATAAATTCAATTGAATTTTTAAATTTGGTTTATTTTAAATTACTTCTTGAATATATAGAGTCTTCATTATTTATAATATAATTTCTGAAACATTCTGACACAAACTATCATTTGAAACAATATTACTCCAAAATTTTTATCATTAATGTTTTTTTTGTTTGTTTTTTTTTTTTTTCAGACAGTGCGATAAAAAAGCCTTTCCCCATTTTGTCATGTTGCAAACATCAGCTTTGTGTTTTGAATTTGGACTTTATTTATGATTCATAATTGTGAAGTTGAAGGAAAATGATCGGTGCCATTTAGCAGATTTACTTCCTGGATTGTCCTGTTTTTAGCTCCATGTCTCTCTAAAATGGCTTCTTATCGATTTCCTTTTCATTTTAGTCCAGCTGGATTATCATATCTTAGTAGTTGGGCTCCTTGATTTTATGTAGGATCCTAAAATTGATTACACCTTTAATATTTTTTTAATTGTAAGCTGTGCATTGTTTTCCTTCCACTGCCACAATCACGCTCTACAATGTTGTATTTGTAACATGGAGTTTGTGGTTATAAAATGACCAAATATGAAAACAGATTCAGTAAGTTTGAATACTTTTTCAAAGCACTGTGGAACATGTGATATGGTTTCCATAAATTAGAAGAAAAGCAATGAATGAAGAAGATGATAATCCTGAATTCAATCTGAAGTCCATGCTTCTCATTTAAACCTTAAACCGTGAGCAAAAGATGAAATCCAGTAGAAATGCGTCTCATTTACAAAAACAACAAAATGTCTTTTTATTGTAATCTTAATTTTCCTTCTGAATGTTGATGTTAGAGGCGACCTGGTCAGGTGAAAAACTTCACGTCCTTCTCACATAAAATCCAAGCTGCTCCTCGTCCAGGCTTTAGTTGTTTTTTTGTTTTTTTAAATGTGTCTTGTATTTTGACTTGTTTCTCATAAGGTCGTTACATTTTGTTGTTAGTTTTCAAATACGTGACAGATTTGACAGGTGAGCGTTATCCGTTGAGCTAATTAAGGAGTGCCGTTCCTATGATTGTACCCATTCCTCTCATATCTGGTTTAGAGTTTAAACTCATTCCAGTACAAAGTTCATCCGTCCGTGGTTGCATTCACTGGCTCCCTCCGGCATTCCTCCACGTACAATGCCGTGAGAAACACGCATGAACTCATCCTCAACGTTAATGTGTTAATATCGGGCTTTGGAACAAGTTAACTGTTCTTGCTTCACACTTTTTATAGCCACCAACGAGCTTCTGACATAATCCTGGCTGGATAATTGATCACTTTTCTGAGCAGAACTGAGAGACTTCATTTAAAACATAGACTCTGCTTTCGAGTATAGTCTGTTATTTTGTAATTGGGAGCAAGTTTTTAAAACCAGAGACTTTGGGGTTGTGTTTCCTTAAGCATAATGTTGATCAGTTTTATTTGTTCCAAACCCATTTTAGTGTTTAAATGGAGTCCTCTCAGTCTGTGTTCATGTAAAACTGGCGTAGAGAGTTCAGTGACAACAGCTGATTTACTGGAGCCTTGTTCCAACAGCACAAAAGTCCCATGTACACATGAAACTGGTTTTGAAATAAATAAAATAGGCTAACATTAACCTACCTGAATGTTTCTGATGGGGACCTTGCAGAAATTTGCTAGGGCTGAGCAATAAATCAATAACAATATATGGCGATAGACATTTGATCAGTACATCAGATGAACTGTTGATCATTTCACTGAACTCTGATCCAGAACCGCACAGCATTCTGGGAGATGTGGGCGATTGAAAGGCTTTAGCCTCTCATCCTCTCAGGGCCAACTAAACAAAATTTGTGGCATGAGCTAGTTCACTGCTCTTTGGTTACCTAGCAACAGCCTGTTGAGTAAGACGCTGCAGCAGTTTCAGGTTTAGCCTGAATCACAGCTCAAGAGGAAACTGGATGAAACGGCAACGGTCACATCAACAGTCTGACATTATTTCAGATAACGAAAACAAAAAACAAATAACTATCGATGTCAACTGATATGACATTCTTATGGTAGAACGATTTTTAATCATATTGTCCAGCCCCAGGCCATGTTTTAAAAACCAGACCTATGGCAGGACATGAGTTCTGTCAGAACCTTGTTAGTGGCTACAGAAAGAATGAAGTGAATAAACGACCAAAACCGACGACGTTCCTGCCGATGACGAGTGGATGCACATTTCTTACCGGCATTGTAGCTCCCCTGTGTGTGTGTGTGCGTGTGTGTGTGGGTCTGTTTGTGTGTGTGTGATGATGATGATGATGATGATGATGATAGGGGGCTGCCTCAATCTGCACTAAAAGATGCCTCACTCCTGTTTTCCACCTTACCTTTGAGGTGCAGGGTAGCTGCTCAGAAACATTGTACCTCCTCTGTACAGAAGATGCAGGAGAGGCGACACACCTGAGGACGCAGCAGATTCCATGCATGTGAAAACAAACTGTACACTGTTATCTCCCAAAACGCATAGGCTGGGATTGTTAGGAAATGTATGTATGTAAATATGGCAGGTCCTCTCCCCCTGCCCTCCCTGTCTGTTTTTCAGAACTGTGTAACTTAAGCTGATAATTCAGGTGACTCGTATGGTACCGATAAATGTTCTGCACCCTGGCAATTGAAAAAAATGAAAAAACAACAGAAAAACAACCAAAAAACAGAAAGTCCAACCTACATGCCGTCTCTGCACACTCCCGGATCTGCCTCTCTCAGATTTTTTTTTTTTTTTGGGAGGGGGCTCTATAGCAGACAGTTCTTCACCTGTGGAGCGAGCCGCTGATCCCGGCTCTCTGTGTGCAGGCCCACACAGTCAGTCCAGGCCGAGCGCGGCTGACCTTCTCTTCATCCTCTTCCTCCGTGTCGCTGCGTGTGGCCTGTTGGAAAACCTCCCCGGCCCTGGGACGTTTTGGCCTTTCTAACCCTTGTACAGGTCTGAACTATGAGCACAAAGGTGAACTTCGGGACAGGAGACGCCACTGACGTGCCCACCCACACCCACACCTGCCCCCGTCCTCCCCTTCCCACTCTTGTCTGTGGTTGCTCCTGTACATTCCTATCTTCTGAATGTGTAAACCTGTACACGTGGTGTGAAAAATTCCTCTATTAATGTGTATCAAGAGAATGGAACAAAGACAAAAAATGTTACTTTTTAAATTATCTTTATTATTATTATTATTTCTCTTATTACTGTCTAGCTTTGTAAAACTGCTGATCTATCCGGCGTACCTCGGCAGACCTTTCCCTGTCTTTGAAAATAAATAAATAAAAAAAAGGACAAGCAAGAATCGGGGGAGAGAAATGAGGTTTTGGATAAACTATTTTTAACTGTGGTTGAAGCAATAGACTTTTTGAACTTTGAATCGTGCATGGCTGTGTCTTGAGTGTAAAAATACAAAATATTGCAGTTTGGGAACTGGACTGAAAATAAAAAGATGAGGAAAAACAAGAGTCTGGAGAATACATTTATTTTTAAGTTGTCATGCCTGCATAATTTTACCAACAAAGCACCACCTGCTTTGTTGGTAAAAGCTACACAACCGCGTGATATTTTTTTAATTAATAATGGCGTATTTGCATCAAGTTTTAATGTCACTGACAGTTACTTCAATTTTGCTCACAGTATAGATTCATGAAGAAATTATTTTCCCAAAACAAAAATACATAGGAGTCAAACTAGAACATGTTTATAAAAAGAAGGTAAAGTAAATTTTAAATCACGTTTTCAGCAACAAGGCAGTTCAAACTGAATTGGAAGGAAACACCAACAACAAAACCAAAAGACAAAAGTTTAAAGTATAAAACTACATATAGGTCCCCTGTTTAATAAGAGTAAGAAGAAGTCGTCTATATATACTAGCAGGTGTTTCTCTGGATTCTTGTTCTGATAAAAACAGATGTTGGTTCTCCACGTTTGGTAATATTAGTGAAGTATAAAACTAAATGTTGATTCCAGTTGTTCTGGGTTGAGTTCTGCATTTGCACAATATAAAGCTAAATGTTGATCCTCCATGTCTGATTCTATAGAAGGTGGCATTTTCTAAGTTTGTTCCAGATTTGTAAACTACCATGTAAACCAGTGTTAAAAACAAGTAAAAAATGAATAGATGTTGATTTAATATCTTATTCTACAACGAGGTTAAAGAGTAATAAAGTATAAAAAAGAATACGTTTGTAAATATGTTCATAAATATTGATAAAAAAAAGTGCTACAAAAATCTTTAAAACCTGTGAAATATCCCTTTAGTGATGGCTTTTAGTGACGGATTAAACAACCAATAACTGGCACAGTCAGATTTCACATCAGCCAATCAGATTGATTGTCCCGCCCCTTTAACTGCACCGCTGAGATTTAGCTCAGATTGCGTGTAACAACTCCCTTGAGAGGTGAGAGCTGACGGTTGTTCCGTAAATCCCCTGTAAGATTGTGTTAAATTCTACGAAGAATCCTGAAAATTGGTAAGACAATGTTAAAATAGTATCGCAGAATTAATAATTCAAAATAGTGAATGTGGTTTTTCTTAGATCTCAGAAAGCTTCTGTTCTAACAGCTGACGTCCGGAAAAAATCCCCTGTAGTTGTGTAGCATTAAGCATCGGTGAGTAATCGCACGGGCTCAGCCGTTGGCCCAGTAAATTCGCTAAAAATGGGCTAAAATACCTAATAACTGTTCAAATTTAATAAAAAATAAAATTGTATTGTAAACTTTATATCATTAATATTGTGTATGTTGTATTTGTCCTATGTAAATTTACTTCTTTTTCTATTAGTACATGTTTTAATATTTCGACTTTAATGTCATGGTCCTGTAATGTGCTCTTATTACTTAGGAACTTTCTGTTCTCTGTAGGGCAGAGCTAATGCGGGTTTCTAATCCACATTTTGAATGTTAGATTTAGTCTTATAGATGTACTTTGGCACTTTTAGATTGAAATTTGAATTGTTGCTTAAGCTTTGTTGATATTAGCATCCTAAATTTTAAGATACTTTACTTTGACCTTCTTCCAGGTCAGGTTTTTTTTTTTTATGGTGCACTTTTGAAGCATCGTGCCCAGAGACATCAAGATCACCCCCACAAGAACTTGGATGGCGAGCCCCAGCCCAGAGAACCGAGTGAACCGGTAGATGGTGACCCGACTGGTCACCAGCCCTGAAACATTAAAAAATATTTCACAGACACATTGGAAAGACTAAACAAACTTTGAAAGAACATTTGACAGAAATCCAAAAGACTGGGTTATTTCTTTTATTAATTTTATTTTTAAAAAGCTCGCAATTTTTGTTGTGGATCCACAAATGTTGTCTATGTTAAATTCTACTTTTTTTATATATACATTGTGTGCTCTTCTCTATTGTTCACACCTAGGCTCACCCGAATTTAGAATCTTCTGATCAGGCCCAACTTCCTTTATACTTCTGTAGTGTTGGTATTAGTAAAGTAAATTAACTTGCCATCTACTATTAAAGGTATTTAAAGTAACCCGTCTTGTGGGTTACAAACAGTTTCTCTAAATCTTGCTCCAATATTAAAAGGTAGGTCCCCCAAGTTCAATAAGAATAATAAGAAATCAAAGATTTACCCAAAATCTGGTCAGAAGCGTCTTGTTTCCTTCTAACTTTCTAAAAATTAACTCAACATGGACAGTGCTTGAGCTGTTTTGGTTCACTGACACACAAAGATCCTGTATGTTTTAAATATTGATGAAGGCGCCGTCTCATTACAAGGCTGTCAGCTCGTTTGAAGTGACGAGCCTCAGGGCGATTATGCTGGGCATATTGTCTGCCTTCTTACTGCCTTTATTCTTCAGCCAATACCAACGGGAAGAGTTGTCATCAGGCATCCCTGGCAGTAAGACTTCTCCCAAAAATTTGTCCGATCCCTGGTCATCGCTCCACAACTGGAAAAGACCAGACAGGTTCAGTAGCAAATAACACAGGAGGTGATTTGTTGTGTTAGTGTAACCGGATCCTTTTCTGCGTTGTGCTGGTTATTGAGTGAACAGGCCGTGACGCAGTTTATCTTTTAAAAGATGATTCTTGGTTTATTTCTCTCCCGCAGGACAACATGACAAAAGGGGTGGGGGGGAAACACCTCTCACAACTTACAAAAAAAACTAAATAAACATTTTTGTACAACATACCTGACGAGAATACAGACAAAACAACCGTGTTAAAGGCTGCCTGCTCCAAGTCCTCTCCCGCAGGACAACATGACAAAAGGGGAGGGGCTAAGGGGCGCAAACAATTTAAAGACAATACCACAGAAGAAGAAATAAAAGGGAGGGGCTTCAATCTAACTCCATATGTTTCAGTAAGATAAGGAACAAGACAAATAATCAAAAAAAGACATTTTGTGTAATTATAACAAAAGAGAATTACAACCAGGTTACATTAGAATAGAAATTTTTGCACAGGCTGCAATTAATTTAGTGTTTTTTAATTGCGTGTAATTAAAAGCACTTTACATACTGTGCTGTTGTACATGTGTTGCATGTTTAGCCCTTCTACCCTGGTCTACAGTTTTTTGAATATGTAATAAATATATATTAGTTTACCACCGTGATGTGGAAGCATTATTGTTACATAAATTTAACACCTATTTGTGGGGTTGCCAGGCTTGCCAGTACTTGTGTACATGTGCTTTTAAGCATTTAGTTTTTTTTAAATATGTATAGGGAAAGCCTTTCAATTTACCATTTATGTTGTTCAGAGAAATCCTGACTCTGCTTTGTTTTAATTTAAAGTCTTTTTTCTGCCTTCTGATGTTTTTTCATCCCTAAAAACAGTAAATGACTAAAAACACCAGTAAGCCTTGGCAGTAAATACCAGCCCCACTGATCTGAGACTAATCACTGTCACTGATTTTTCAACTTACCTGCACTGTTATGGGCTCTGCGACCTTCTTCCTGTAGAAAATGGCGCTAAATTCAAAAACCGGGGTCAAAGTGTTCTTGGTGGTGGACTTCACTGATTGGTCCTCGCAGGAAATGATCACATATGGGTTTATGCCTAAAAGATGCATTTAGTTTTATTTCTGTGAATTATAAATGAGCAGGACTCGTTTGAGAAAACATTCTCTTACCCTCCGCCTGGTCTTGCTGACCGATCTCAGCTCTGTCCACATATATGTGAGTAACAACTTGAGGATATCCACAGAGCGGAGTCCAACATTTAGGCTGTGGTTTGTCCTTCAACAGCTCCCTGAGGGAAGACATGGATAGAAAACATGTTTCTTAATATTCTGACCTCAATCAAAAGGCAGCCAGTCTGACTAAAACATATTTCATGTGATAGGCCAAAGCAGATGCCAATGCTTTAATGGCATCTACTTGGCCTATTTTAAAATTTTAAAACTATTTTAAAATAGGCCAAGTAGATGCCATTAAAGCATTGGCATCTGCTTTGGCCTATTTTAAAATAGTTAGGGTAAAATAGTTTGTTTTCCCTCAAGGCTTTGAAATACATGATGGTTTACCAAAATGTTAGTTTAAATCATTTGAATTTTCTGTGCCATCAGTTTCTTACCGGCAGCCGGAGTCCACGTCCGTGTAAAGCCGGAGCATGAACTCTCCTTCTATGAAAGGCTCGTAGGTGGTCGGGATGACGACATATCGGCCCTGTGGCAGCTCGATTCTCTTGAACACCGTCCGAGCGTTAATGTAGGTGAATCCATGCATAATTTTTAGCGTCTCTAAATTGTGCAGACGATACTTCCTGTTCACTTCCACCTGGAAAGGAAGCCCAGGTTGTACACTCGTCACTGCAGCTTATTTCTGTGCATGTACACTGCATAGACTAGACGGTACAGTTAGGGTTGCCATCGGTGCCATATTATATAAGTGATCCCTTTATATAGTAGGCTGCCCCAGTCATTGTTTCACTCACGGTGTGGGTGTTGCGATATTGTGCCCAACTGCTTTCTGGGTAACACAGACCAACCGACACTCTGCCGCCGCAGTCTCTGTCTCTCTTCCCCCGCCTCCCCCGGCTTTAAATGTACAGAGGCTGGTCCCTTGGTAACCCTAGTCGAAGCACCCCGGATGAATGTCTAAAGCCGCTTTGTTGACATCAAGAATGTCAACAAAACAGTCCGACTCCGGTCTGCGAGGAGAGCCGCGACTGGGCCGGGGCGTGGCCGGACGATGGTCACCCTTCTCCGTTCGCGCACAGCATGTTCGTGGAGAACGTGGTGCTAAATTACCCAAGTACATTCTAGACCAGTGTTTCTCAACCCTGGTCCTCTGCGCCCCCCTGTTTTGCATGTTTTAGATGTGCCTCTATTCCAGAACAGCTGATTCAAATGATTGCATGACCATCAAGTACTGCAGAAGCCTGTTAATCACCCCGAGATACTATTCAGGTGTGTGGCAGAAGGGAAAAACCTAAAACATCCAGGACAGGGGGGCGGTGAGGACCAGGGTTGAGAAACGCTGTTCTAGACGGTCGGTAGGTAGATAGGTCAGTCAAACTTTATTAACAAACCAGCGTTCTGACAACTATCCCAGCATGAACCGCGCGCTTCTTCTTCTACGGGCGAAAATGAAGCCGGCGGCTGCTTACCGTAGTTGCTAGATCTGTTGTGGCTCAATATTGGTGCATATATAAGGCGCACCGGATTATAAGACGTACTGTCGGTTTTTGAGGAAATTGAAGGTTTTTAGGTGAGCCTTGTAGTGCGGAAAATACGGTAGTTTAACTATGATTAGAATATATTTGCTCCCTTTCATTTGTTTTAGTTTATTTTTTGTCTGACCTAAATCAGACAGATAACTTGATAAACTGCTTTCCAAATAATTTTAATTTTTAAGGGGATAACACTTAGGAACACCAAATTTAACTGCAGTAGTTAGGAACTAATATCATGTACTAATGAGTAGTTAACCAGTACTTACTGGGGAACACAAGCGAGCCTTATTAGTCATCTGAGTCCAGTTAATTCAGATGTTACCAATAAATCTATCAGAGCCTGCCAAAGATGGGAGATCAAATGTCCCAAATTGTTTAAAGGCATAGTGATCTTAGTGTATTTAGACTGTTGACTTTGAAGAAAGCAAAATTGCTTTAAAAAATTAGCTCTCTCATTATTCTGGCATTCACCAAATAGAAAAACATATGGTGATCGTATTGGACCTAAAACAGGAAAAGTTTATTCTGATTTCATGTCAGACAGTGAGAAAAAAATATGTCTTTTAATGTATTGTTTTAATTGTACATACAAATATATAATCACAGCTTTCCATTACAACTATCCACCGGTGTTTGCCTCACTAAAAGCAGAGTCCTTGTTTTTTACAACAGAGAGTTGTATAGATGATTTATGTTACCTTTACGATGGTGAAGCCGATGCTTAGATTGTCTCCTTGACCTTCTTTCCTGTAGATCCTTCTGTCTTTCTGCTGCAGTGAAATCAGGACCTCGTCAGATTCTTTGGTGACATCAAACAAGTACTGGAAGAGAAGGGAAAATGCATTAGTTTTAAGTTGTTAGTTAGTATGTGTAGATAGACTGACAGAGTTTCTCCAGAGCCTTCAGCACCTGTGGGTTCTGCAGAAATGTCTCCATGTGGTTGGTACAACCACCGGAGCGGTTCAGCAGGGGGTCGCTGTTTTGAGTCCATTTTCCAAAATGCGCTTCCTCATTCCAGTTCTTATGGATGCTCACCACTGAGGTGTTCATTAGATGGCAAATATCCACTTCATCGAAGTTCTTGCACCAGTCTGTGAATGACATCCTGTTGATCCAAACAGAGAGCGCATCGATACTGAACAGTTAGGAATCAAATTAAAATGTAATCAGAGTGTAATCAGAGATCCCGACCCACCAAAACTCTCCATCGTCTGCCACTGTGATGCCAAGGTTGGCCTTTTCTGTGTCATCGACCTTTGACCATTCTTCAGAACTGACAAACAACAATCAAAGCCAAAAAGGTGGTTATTTACCAGGAAACTTTCAAAAGATACAGAGAATGTTCCAAAGCGTTCTACTTTAGACAACAACTGTTTCACATGTGTCACCCTGTAACATGGAAGAAATAATGCATGGTTTTTATATTTGTGTCTTTACAGAGTAAATGCATCATAATCTGGGACTCCTTCCAAGTGACAGATTTTGTTGCAATATTCTTAAGAAATGTAACTGGATTGGTTGTTGACAGATTGCTCAAGTTGTTTCCTTGTCTTATTCCACTGTAAAACTACTCGTCATGTAAGCCACTGAACTTCTTTGGTATTCTGGAAATACTACTGCTTAACCTTTAACATGAAAATGCCACATCAAACCAAGGACATTCTTGGCTACCAGGTAAGTGTGCTAGCAACTGTACAACATGTACTATACTATGTTTTCAAATTATTTTTAAGAATAAAGCTCTGAAAGATTGGGGCTAGCTAAACCTAACTCACTGTTAGGAAAATGACTACCACATGACCCCTCCTGACCTGTCACTCCACGCTCCTATCCACTCAGCTTTACCCCAGGGATTTCTCAGGCGGATGAGTGGAATGGTTTCACTGTTAAAGTAGGCCCGCAGCCTGTTATCCAAATCTACTCGTTTCACGTCAGTGACCGAGTACGCATGGCCTCGCACCAGCCCCTCTTCCGTCCTCGACTCAAGTCCAAATCCCCGAGGCTGTGAAATTTCAAAGAAAATGTTTGATTTTTGCATTCCTGAAGACTAAGGAAACGTAAACAGAGAAAACTTCCAGCGACACGTAGTCACTCACATCAATGGAGGCGTTGATGATTCCATTGTGTTCCCACACCTTGACTAGATTATCAAACAACTTCTCTTGGTTATCTGTCCTGTATGGTTTCAGGTCAATAGTTTCTGCCACAGCTCCAGTAAAATCCACCACAGCATCTGTAGCGTTACCTCCATCCAGGGACTGATAGCTGCCAAAGAGCCTGGACACAGTGGGAGGAGGGACATTTGAAGAGTTGATAGTCAGCTAAAATAATTTGATAACTTAAAATATTAATGTGGTGGAAAATACTACAAATCTGTCTGTGTATGTTCTCCTGGCAACAGTTGGTAACAGCTGGCTCCATTGGATTACCAGACAGACGAGAAATAACTAAGTTTCATCACTCCAAGCAACGTGTCTCCACAGCTCCAGAGTCGGGTGACGGCATGTTTTATACCAATGTATCCAACACTTTGCATTGCGTTTGAGTTGTGTTTACACACTGTCCATGAGCTAATCTGATGACCACATGAAGTGGATATCTGTAGCTGTTGACTCAGTAAGGTGTGACCTCTGCGCAGCAGGTTCCTCTGGATCAAGTGATTCTGCTCTGAGATTTCACATGGCCTACCACTTGGTGGCTGAGCCGCTGTCATTTCTAATTTCTTAGAAACAACCAACAGCTGACTGCAAAGTTAGATCGAGGTTTTGCACAAGTGACATTGTGTCATGATGCCACTCTGAGCTCCTAGTACTGATCTATTCATTCACAAAAGTTTCTAGAAGTGTGTTTGGATTTAATGAATGAATGCATGAGTGAATACTTTCAGCAACATAATCCATGAAGATAAGACACCACAGCATTGCTTAGATGACTCTTGTCTTTGCATGAAGTTATGGACTGATACTTAAAAATTCTGTTTTCCTCTGAATGACTTAAAAAAGTGACATACTTCTTATTCAAATCAAACAAATGTATTCAGCTTAAAGGTCAGGTTTTTCACAGTTTTTTAGTGACACTATAGAGTCACAATAACATATTCATTTATTTTAAGACTTTATATGCAGTTTTATCAGGGCTGCCAGTGAATGTACAGGATGCTGAGGAACAGATTTGGTTTACTGACTTGGCGTAGGCTTTCTCCAGCAGGGCGCTCCAGAACTCATTGTTTTGTTTTGACTGACAGTAGATGAGTTGTCCGTTGATTGTCGGCAGTCGGTCGTCTATCACCACGTCTGTCCACTGACCGAAAATCCAGAACCGGAAGTGGAAAATCCCACCGTAGTTTGAGTCCCACTCCTGCTCCTTCCAGTCAGGAATTACCTGGAAACATGCAAAGACAATAAATTTACCAAACGTCTCGCGGTTTGCCACAATGGCATCTCCTCCAAAGCGATGGTAGTAAACAATTTAAATATTGGATTAGGAAATGGGCAGTCATCCTCGGGATATACATTTGAATTTCTAAATCTTTAAAGTACGGCATTATGGGTAACCTGTGTCTGCTTTACAGTAACAGAGGTTGCGTTGAAATATTTTGAAGGAATGAAACTGAATCAGCTGCATTGTTGTTGGAACAGATCACTTGCACATTTTTCTCTCCTCCACTTTTTCCACTGTTAAAAGCTACTTGGACTTCTTTGGTGTTAAGTTTCTGTCAACTTTTAAAATGGAAAACTGCATACCACAGTTTCGGAGACAAATTGTTACCAAAGTCTTTCTTGTTAGACACTTTCTTGATTTATTAATTTCAACAATAGTCTGAAATAAATGTTTTGAAGTGCTAAAACAAACTTTTTAATTAACTATTTTAAGTAAACTCACCTTCTCCCAGAGTTTTGGTCTTAAAGCCAGGGAGGCGCAGGCAGCAACCATCCAGCAGTTTCCCATACTCCCCTGGTTCAAGTCATGAGAGCTGACGCCCTCTACAAACAGGCGTGGGTTTTCACATATTTCCTAAAACATTAAAAAGTATATATCTACTTTTTGAATAAATAAATCAATGGCAACTTTGATAATTTACCTGGCTAAAACAAACATTTCTACATCAATTTCTAAGTTATGTGAAACTTCTCCAATTAAAATTATTTGAAGGCACAGAATCAGCCTGGTACCAGACCACATTCTCACGTAGGAAAGACTCACCTGATATTTAATTTTTAGGTATTGTAATTATTTTTAATTGAAATTAACTTAATCAAAGAATTTCATGAATATGTGTGTACGTATTCCATCCAGTTGTGTTTGTAGAAAGTATTGGTACATGAGTGCAAGAAGCAAATACATCCCACACTTTTAAGATTTTATTTGTAAAAAGATTAAACACATTTGTCATTTCCTTTTACTTTGAAATTATGTGCCTGGCTTTAACATGCAGTGTTTATGGTTAAGCACAGATTTATTTTAAAAATAAATCCTGAAAGTAACAGGAAAGCAACAAAAAAAACAAAAAAAAACAAAAGTGACAAAATTCATGTGAGTTGCTTCATTTGTTCAAATTAGGAGTCTGTCTTCAGGGCCATGCAGACACGATCAAGAATATTACTTTGTCAGAACAAGAAAAAAAGTTAATCTATGGAGACATAAAAGATTTTAAACATTTCTGGAGTGACATAAACTCACCCCAGGTCGTTTCCACTCCACAAATCGAATTACATCAGGGAGGTCCTTGTAATAAATCGATGAATCGGTGGCCGGGAACTCTGGATCTTCAAACAGCGTCCCGTTCTGGTTGTGCTGCTTCTTCAGCTCAGCGTAGAGCTGATCCTTGTAAGCGACAGACATGGTGGAGATGCTGAGGCCTCACAGCTGCAGATGAGACAGCAGAGGATTCTGGTCTTTATTTGGGAGGAATCAGAAATGATTTAGTCTTGGTGGGATTGCTGTACTGCTCCAGACTGACCCATGACCCTAAGTGAGTCTCGGTGGACTCATTGAGTTTGTCTGGACAGATGAAAAGTATTTATGATATTGGAAAAGATTTGATGCCTTCACCTTTGCTGGCTGTAGAACATAAATGTCGTTACGCTTGATGTGCTTATCGCTGACATTTTACCTGCATACCTGAACGGTGAGGTGGCTTGATAACTGATCATTCAGTATTGACTGAGAATTTATTGAGACTTTTCTTGGATTTACCATTTTTATGGCAAGATTTTAATTAGCTTTTCTTCACTGGAATATTAAAGCATAAAATGTAAAAAAAAAAAAGTCTCAAGAAATGTTGTTTTTCATCTGGCTGTTACAGGTGACGCCATCTTCACTTCCCAGTGTTTCCAGGATGTACGTGAACCAACATAAAGATCAGGGAAAACCATTTGTTTAAGGGGTGCAGGTCTTAATGTTTTTATCTTTTTAATCTCTTTTTCTTTTTTTTAAGAAAAAAATCTCTTTCTCTTTGTCACTGTTTATTCAATGTCACGTGTTGTTTTTATTTTATTTATGTAATGCACTTTGAAATGCGTTGCTGCTGAAATTTGCTATACAAATAAAATTTGATTGATTGATTGATTAAAGACATGTTCATGTTTATTTCAACAAGAGAAACAAAGTAAAATGTACTTAAAGTAAAGATCAAACTGAGGTTCAGTAAACAGTAAACGCTGCTCTTTAGTCAGTATTTTATACCAAAGTTGTGTAACATGTTCTTAAAAGTTACAAATGAAGAACAGAAACATTTCAAAAGCAACACTTACCAACCAGAAAGTCTTATTCTTGTGAAGATGAACTTAGATTCTTTCAATCTTCCCTGAAACTCCACGCCAGGTGTTACAAGTCAGTCCACGCTTAAGCTTCAGAAGCCACAACACGAAACAGCTGTCTGCCACACCTCGCTCTGAATGAAATGAGATTTCCTGCTCTGCTGCTGTGAGGAGTTCACAAAAGCAGGGTCAGAAAACTGGCCTGGCGGCTTTAACAGTGTGTAGGAGTATGCGTCATGTAAAACGACCGATTGGACCTCTGAAAGTATTAAAGGAAGGGGAAACAGAGAATAAACACCCCCGCGTCCTCTGAAGGTAAAACTGGTAGAAACTTGCTGGTCTTATTTAGAAACACACAGAACTCAAGATTATAGTAATCATTTTAGCGTCACAAATACGATTGTCTGTCTATGTTGAATCTTTTTTTAAAAAATCTTTTTTATTGCACCACTGATAAATTGAACTGTAGGAACGAAACAAACGGGCAGGCACCAGTGATCTGAACTCCACTGTGACTCCCACCTGAAGAGATCTGGTCAGGCTAACCACCACGGATCAGTTTCTTTCTCAATATCCTTAGTTCTTCTCTCAAAATTAAATATGTAAATCAAGGAACATGTGAGTGTCTCAGAATTACAAGTTCTTCTTTCATTGAGTTCGAATAAGAATCAAATTGATTAGTCATGTTGTCAATAGCGATGTGCTCTGGAGGGATATTAAAAAGCATGTTCTTATATCTTTCAACAAGTTTACTTTTTTCTACATTTTAATTGCTTTTGTCATGTTGATCAAACTGTATCATGCGAGTTAGGCTTAGGGTCTCTGTTGAATAGTCTCGACCGGCACAATTTAAGGATCATTTCTTATAAAAATGCAAAATGCTTTAACAAGTTTTCATAATATGTCAAGCATATAGATTTTTTTTTTCTAAATCTGTGCTGAACTGCACTGCATAACTGAAACAAACCAGGGTAACAATGCAAAAATACCACTAAAATAACAGTGTAAGTTTTAGAGAAAAAGAAAGAAAAAAGTTGTTTAATCTGAAAGGCATGAAAGAAGAGGAAGGACATGTATTTACTTCATGGTACTAAATTTCTACAAAACAAAGGGATAGGAGGCCTCCTCATTTTATTTTAATACTTTTTATCCTTTTATTGGTATTGATCCAATAGAGGCGGCTGCTAATGTTAATTAAATATTTGGAAACGTGGCCAACACAATCTGAAATATTTCATTCTCTTCCTCTGCTATCATTATTAAAACTACAGACAGACTACAAATTAACGTCATTATTCACAATGTAATAGCCCAGTAGAAATTCTTGCAGAAGGAATCCAAGTAAATGGCAGAAAGCCCAGACAGACTGAGCCATAGGCGAGAGTTGGATCAAGTAAAATGGCACAGGAAGGCAAAGGCCAAGCTAGAATAATCCTGTCAAGTTTTCTAATTGGAAGCAAGTTTTTAAAACCAGAGACTTTGGGGTTGTGTTTCCTAAAGCTTAATGTTGATCAGTTTTATTTGTTCCAAACCCATTTTAGTGTTCAAATGGAGTCCTCTCAGTCTGTGTTCATGTAAAACTGGTATAGAGAGTTCAGTGACACCAGCTGATTTACTGGAGCCTTGTTCCAAAAGCACAAAGGTCCCATGTACACATGAAACTGGTTTTGAAATAAATAAAATAGGCTAACATTAACCTATCTGTAGTGGTATAGAAATATACATAATTCCCCACAAAAAGTTTCCAGGTGAGAAGTTCCGGTTCTTGAAGTGGGCGTGGTGTATATAAGGGAGCTGCGGCGTTCATTCAGGCATGTGTCGTCTTTGTTCTCCCACTGTGTGGCTTGCGTCCGGTGGACTCTGGCAACGGAAAGCAACAAATCGCTGGCTGGTGCATGTTGCGCTGATGTTTTGGTGGTAAAACGCCACTGCACTGCGTTCCTTCTCTTCCTCGGTCTGCGAGTGTGTGTGCATGTTTTGTGGATCAGCAGGTTCCCCACAGTTGAACCATTGCTGCTCTGTCTACGTTCGTTTCCCGGTTCTGTTCGGCTTTGTTCTGCGCCGGCTACGTAAATCTCCCGGATTTCTGCACAATTGTTCTGAAGTTGGACTGTGGCGGCGTTATCCGCCCTGATTGGAGCGGTGTTTAGGGTGTGGCATCGGCGCGCCCGTTTCATCTCCCGCTGTGGCGTGGCAGGGCCACGCCTGGTCTTAATGTTTTAACTTGTATTGTCTGATTTTTATTTTTCTACTTCTGTTCACAGCCCTTTTGTCTTTTTAGTCGGGCTGATATTGTTATATTGGTTAACTGTTTGTTTTTGTTTGCAGTTGCTGAGGTCCGGTGGCGGTGTTGGTGTGGTGACGGTGTCTTCCTCATCTGTGTGCTGTGATTCTGGAGTTTGGGTTGTCTCACTGCGTCTGGTGTTAAAGGTTTTTTTATTTATTTGCTGTGTTTGGTGGATGTCGTCCCCATAGCGCCCCCTCCGGCCGGTAACCTCACTGCTGCAGCTCTTCTGTTTTCTTCTATTTCCTTTGATTTCTTTAGTTTAATTTTTTAAAAAGAAACTGATTTTAAAAACATTTTCAAAAGAATTTAATAAACTTTTTTTATATAATTTTGAAATGGTCTCAGATGTTTTAATCCATGCATAACTGAACCTGTGTGCCTTAAGCAAGAGGCAATATTCTCTGGGCGAAATTCCCAGGGTGGCGTTGTTGAGCAATTTACTAAAATTAAACTTCCACAAAATCTGAATTTCCATCTAGTGTTGCCACATACCTGAATGTTTCTGATGGGGACCTTGCAG